TCAGAATACATGTGGTCTAGAAAATACGCCAAGTAATATGATCATCTTCTTCCATGTATTGTTTATTCCACTCTAATTGAAAAAACAATTTCTCTAACATTCTATATAAATAATTTTTTCAGATCATTATCCTATAAAATCTATCAAATTTTAATACTTCTTAAATTACTATTAATCCATTATTAAAATAAAAAAAAAATTAATGTTAATCTTAAATTCTGAACCAATTAAATTTCCACTTCACAATCATACAAATATAATTAATTTAATCAATACAATTTATATAATTAATGTCAAAATTACACGAATCAAGCTATCTCGATAATTAAAAGGATAGTTGTTATCTTTAAAGATCTCGGATTTGAGCAACAATGAGTACAAGATATTTGAACGTTCGTCGTCAAATGGTTAAGAGTCTTTAAAACATAAACTACCACTTGTGAGTTGTAATCACCTTATATTAATAAAAAAATTATGATCAAAATTAATTCTTACAATATATAAATTTAAATATATATATTAAAATTCATATATACATAAATTTACGATTAGTGGAAATTTAAGTTTAGACCTTTGATACTAAAAACTCGTCACTTATAAACGTAAGAAACACTTCATTCGTTGGTCTAATATATTTTTCTTTAAAAAAATATAATACTTATTAAAATATTTCGTATGAAAAAGCGAGTATTTTTTTTATATAATTTCAAATACAATATATGTTTTATGAAAAATCTAATAAAAACATAGAGCATTATTCCAGAACCATTTTATTATATATGTTTTCTTTTGTAATATCATTTTAAAAATAAAATAATGAGTGATAACTTTATAATTACTCATGTGAACGTGAATTGCTCCCCACTTTATTTGATGAAGCAATATGGTGCACTAGTGGCCTTTATTTTATGATTTTTCTCTCTTTGAGTCTCGAAGATAAGAAAATACCCAATGATGTCATTCAGCATTGCTCGGAAGTCATGATTAGTAGGAACAATAAATTTTAAAATCCTATGATTTTGGATATGATCTTGTATATATATATAATTATATATTAAAATAATATCATATAATTATCATATTTATAGTTAAATTTTTGTTATATAAACATGTATTTATGTGATTGGAATGGAAAATAAAAAAATGAGACGTGCAGATAAATCAACGTCCGATCTATTAAAATGATCTTAATTCAAAAATTTATTAATGGATTCAATGATTAAAATTTTTTATATTAACTTATATTGTGTGAATTTGAATCCCGACACTTACCTTAGAATATAATCTCTACTAAAGAAATGATCTCAACTTAAAAAGGTGAACATCATTGTGAACCTTCCATGGCCAATTTTTGTTTTATTTTTTTGATTTCTGGTATTTTATTAGAAAACTTAAACCTTAATTTATTTTTATAGTAAAATAATCAAGCGGGTTAAATATAAAAAGTATAAATAAAAACTATGGGAAAGTTGGACTTTAGCCATTGTTTCCGAGTTGGAGACAGATTTTTTCATACAAAAGGGTAGTTTTATTAATAAATAATATTGACAAAAAAATATAAAAATTAAAACAAATAATCGACTATAGGATTTTATTTTGTTGAGTACCTCCATTATCAGAAGTTACAAAATGATCCATTGATTATAGAATATTGTTTTGTTGAGTCCCCGACTACTAAAAGTTATAAAATGATTACCCGACTATTCATATATTCCGAACTCGTCTTTTTCTATTGAAAATTTGACGACAGTCTAATTTGGATGTTAACATGCTCAATAGAATATGATAAAATTTAGCCCTGATTTCTCAAACGATCATCATATTTCAGTCATCATGTTAATGTCCAACTCAGATTGTCGTCAATTTTTTAATATAAAAAGACGAGTTTGAAACATATGAATAGTCAAATGACTATTTTGTAAACTTTTAATAGTCGATAAACTTAATAAAGCAACGCCCTTATAACTTTTAATAGTCGAATGATTCAATAAAACAATATCATATAATCGAGAACCATTTGTATACTTTACCTATTTTATTAATCGTTCATTCTCGTAGAACAATAAAAAAACATAAATTAGTCACCAAATAATTAAAAAAAAATCATTTATAAAAATAATTAAAAATAGAATCAAACGATACGAATAGAAATTAAGATACATGAAAAGTCGAGTTGGAGATCGATAGTGCACATATTTATAATATTTTTATTAAGAAGTTTAAGGCATTCTAAAAGAATGATATTGTGGAACCTCTTTTTGAACTACTTTAACTCGATTGAGAAGTGAGACCAAAATATATGAAACAGCTGCTAAACGCAGATCAATTCTAAATTTACTGAGGATGATGCTACAAATTGATTTATAAGATAATTTATTTTATTTTCTTTGTATTAACAAAAATAATTTTATGTAACCATTTTAATAAATTGAACAAACTCACATCGATTTGACTTTTGGCATAGCTTTTTAAACACAGTAAACAAGGTAACATTATTTATTCACTCACATTGTGAGTTTGATATTTAGAGAATTAACTCTATTTTTTGGGATAAATTAGAGAATTAACAATTTAACCTAAAATTAAATTAAATTTGTGTATAAAAAAGTCAAGACAATTTACTTTCGTTTTGAGGTTTTGTTTGGTTGGAGTGAGAATCATAAAGCGGCATTTCTTTTGGTGAACCTCTCTTTCAGCTAAAATTAAAATTGTCCTAACTACCAAATTAATTATTATATAAACTTCGGAGGAAACCCTAGTTTGTGTGATGCAAAGATATTATTAAAAAATTAAAATTCATGAAAGCACGATAAATATATTATAAATATGATATTTTTAACTATACCCATATTTATTTAATAAAAAAAATATCAATATTTTAAAATATAAAATATATACGAGAATGACATGAAACTATGTACAATGTAGGAGTTATCTAGGCATTCAAAAAATGTGTCATTGTCTTGATTAGTACATGAAAAAATAGAATGGTGGAAATTTGACAGGTGAAAAATGAAAATGTGGAACAACGAAAAACATTTTTTAAATGTATTTAGTTAGAAGATAGAAGGGAAATGCATCCTTTTAAACGAGTTCAGGCAAGGCTTGTTTTGCAATTTTGATTGGATTTATTAAATAAAATCATATTAAAACATGATATAAATTCACCCCGAAGAGATTATTAATAAGATTCTAACAGTTTCGACACTGTTGTAATTCTTACATTTACTGAAGATAAACATGATTGTTATTTGTATAAAATGGTTGAACTTATCATTTATAGTAGGGCCAAGTGAATATGAATGAACTAATACAAGACATTCAAATGGAATATGAATGGCCTCGTCATAACTTAAAATTAAATCTTGCGTATAGGTTTGCACCCGTACACACTAGACCTTATTTCGGCCTATGGACATGGCCCAAATAACAGTGGTTATAAGAAGAAATTTTTATGTTCAATTTTGTAGGTATTTAATATATTTTAAGTATTAACCAGGAGATTATTATTCGTAGAGATTTCGAATTCAATCATAACGTCTACATAAATATTTAAACAATCGTTGTTAAATAGTTAAAAGTTTTTCAAATAAATACTATATTATAAGCATCTCAAATGAATATATGTATATTAAGATTTACTGAATTTAACAAAATTCGATTATTTTGAAAAGGAGGGAATCAAGATCAGGGGTGATATATATTCATCTTATACACAAATAATACTAAGGGATCAACGTTTACAATTTTTTTAAATATAAAATCGAAGATAAATGGAATTTATTTTTTAGAAGAAGTACATGGTTAAGGTTATTTTTATTTAATTTTTATGGTAAAAAGTACAGGATTATGTTTATAGGAAAAGAGAAAGATTCCACGGTGGCCCAAAAAAGAAATGAGGTGGGCAAAAAAAAAAAACCTCTTATCCAAAGCATCATCTGACACTTGCTTTTAATTTTGCACAGAGTAAGGTACACAAATTATCCTTTTTGGTTGGGCGCGATTTTATTGAATATCTCAACTATAAACAGATATAAAATGATATTTTAATTGTAGAATATTATTTTATTAAATTTTTTTATTATTAAAAGTTATAAAATAATCACTCGATTATTTATGTATTTTAAATTCAACTTTTATTATTAAAAAATTAGTAGTTATCTGAATTAGACGTTAACCTATTTATTATGATGTGATAAAATTTGATCTCAAAACTATTTAAATTATATTTTATCGATCAACTCTCTGCTAATATCATGTCTTGAGCTAATGTTTAAAGTATTATATCATCAAGTTAGTGTTTGAAAGAACAATTATGTTAGTAGATATTATTAAAATATAATTTTATTATATCTTAATCAGCAGGTTAATGTTTAATTTAAATAACCATCAATTTTTTACGAAAAAAAAATAAATTTCAAATATATGAATAGTTAAGTAAACAATTTATAACTTTTAATGATCGAAAGACTCAAAAAAATAATATTCTATTATTAAAAAATTATTTTTATAATTTTTAATAATTAAAGATACTCAACAAGTATTTGTGTATGTAAAATCATAGGTATGATGCTTGTAAAATTCACTGATCACGTACATCTCCAGACTACCATAAAAACCGGCAACCATTGGGACATCTAGAGAAGAAATATTTAAAAAAGAAAAAGAAGAAAGAAAAAACTTATCCACTACGTTTTCTGATTTTCTTTCAGATAAAAATTTGTCCATCACAAGCCGTTAGATTTACATGACGACGAAACAAGCCGTTAGATTTACATCACGACGAAACAGTCAACGGCTGAAGCTAACCTTTAGACCTTAAAACAAGCAACAAAACTGCCAAAGCAAATCCGACTGAGGAAAATAAATCACTTTCGCTTTAAACTTTAAAGAGATCGTAAACAAACTCTTCTGCTTTGTTGTATTTTAATTTTCGTTCCAGTGGATCAATTTTCAATCTGGGTTTTTGATCTCTGTTGTTAGAGAAAACAAAATTAGATATGGCTGAAGTTTTGGGGAAGGCAAATCTGGTTCCGACTGTTAGCTATAATCAGAAGAAGAATCTAGAAGGTGGAGCTTGTTTGTTGTGATTCTGCAGATTTTCCAATTTGCAGAGATGAATCCAGATGTGCAGTTTCTTCAGGTGAATTACGAGGAGCATAAGTCGATGAGCTATACTCTTAATGTTCATGTGTTGCCTTTCTTCCGGTTCTATCGAGGCGCTCAGGGGCGTGTATGCAGCTTTAGCTGTACTAATGCCACGGTCAGTCTCTAATCCTTCCTTTTTTACGACGTTCATCATGTTTATCATTATGATCTAACCTACAATGACAAATCAGCATATCAAAAAGTTCAAAGATGCATTAGCCAAACACACACCGGACCGATGCAGCCTCTGGCCAACAAAAGGGCTGGAGGAGAAGGAGCTTTTGACGTTGTCAGCTAATAAAGACCTTCCCTTCCACTACACGCCAAATCCAGTTCAACCAACTCCCGTTCCCACACATGAACAGACTTGTATGCCAAATCAAGTTCCATCTCATTCGAAGACAAAGCTCCCGCTTTCAGTCCCGACGACATTCTTAAAGCGAAGGGACAGCAAGGAGAAAACCTTGGTTGGTGTTGGGAGATGATGTAGTATGGTGTTTATGCCATCCCTCACCGTCCATATTACAGTACTATTCCCAGGTTGATCTTTCGCGTACGAACTTGTTCATGTTAGAAGTGAAGAACATAGAATATCGTCTCCCATGGAGTTGCAGGGCAATTCAGATTAATATTTTTGGATCCTAGCCCTGCTTGATTCGAGGGTGGTTGTGAACTTTTGAAGACCAAAATCAGTGTATATTTTTTTAGGCTTTTTTTTTTTATGTTCAAGGGAAACCCCCCTTTGTGAATGTAAAAATCTTGTGGTTATTGTATATTTTCGGATTTAATTATTTAAAACGAATGAATTCATCAATTTGATGCGATCCTTAAACATGTATGGTCAAATTTTGCAGGTATTTAAGGATTATATCTCAATTGATAAGGGCATCCTTGAGAATGACGACTTTAAAGGCAATGCATGCAGTGTTATTTTTGTTTGTGGGTGAAGAAAAAAAAAGTGTCATGTTCCATGTATCCTATGTAAATATATAGTAGGTTTTGATGATCTACAACTCATGGAAGCTTCAAGAATTGTGTTGTGCCTGAGACATTGAATTGGACATCATTCTTTGGACGATTGTCTGCTTGGAAAAAGAGGACCGCTACATGTTCAGGTCATTAGTTTCTCGTATTATCATGAATTTCCATTTAAAAGAACTGTCATTTTAAAAGGAAATGTTGGATTAGGAAGGTTTCTTGTGTCTTTCAATTCATCAAAACGGCCACCCTTGCTTTTCCAAAAAAAAAAACCCCCTTTGATTGATTAGTGAAAATGTGGGGTACTCTAACAGCTCGATCCACCAAGGTGGAGAAATAAAAATGTAGGCAAAGACAACTTGCCAACTTTCATATGCGTTGGAGGTTGAAATTGGAGCCGGCAAGTCATTCTTGGCTGCACCCTTCTTTCTACGCCCATAGGTTAGGCTGCTAGGGACCATGAAATGAACAAACAAGAAATGGGACACTGTATGAACTTGAAGATTGTTCATAAGCTGAGCCGAAACGAAAGTTAAAGGGACAGTACAGTGACTGATGTCTGATGATAAATTTGCTTACATGTTTCTCATAAATATATCTGCCACCGAGGTGGTCTTGTGAAGACAGCTACTCAAGACCCTAAATAGGAAGACATATTTAGAGGGTTATAGTTTTGTATTCATATTATCTGATAAGTAAAACGTTTTTCGACATCTGATTTGTTGTTGATGACTGTTATTATCCAGAAAACATGAATGATATATGGGGAAATGAGTTACTTGAGGATCAACAACATATATTATTGATTGCAGACGTTTAATACTTGGGTATTATCATAGATTCTTTGAAATTGGTGTTAAAGAAAATTTGAGCTGCTAAGCATGGCCACCAGCACCACCACCGTCTCAGTGAGTTTCCTTTGTATCGTACCCTCCGCCATCTCCGTCGTCAGCGGGGTGGCTCCAGCCAGATCGAGCTGCATTCAGTCTGTCAAGCTCTTCACGGTTTCCTCGTCAAGACCGTTGGTCCCATTGAATTTATCGCATCCTGCTTCAAATCCAAAGTCCCTGAGCAAATCATCAGCCAATTTTTCAATGGCTTTAATATATATTTCACTATCTGCCAACAGGAGTTTCTTTTAGCTCTTTTAATTGCACAAGCCTTCGATTATGCTATTTAAAATCCGGGCTACTCGCTGTAATTTGAGTTTATCTAAACAATCTAAACCTGACCTCCAATTAACTTAGCTAAAAAACAGTAATTAAAATTAAATAAATTTGAAATAAAAATGAAATCAATTTCATGTGTATATACAAAGCATAAGCCAAAAAGATTTCAAAGTTGTCTGGACTTTTAGTCGGTTCATCGAGCGTAGTCGGCCGCTGGGACTGGTCCGCCTGTCGATATCGGCCGATTGCTGGAGCATAAAATTATTGCACAAAATGCCCAAAGTCAAAAATGGTTAGCTCAATTAATTTATTATTTAAAATAACACTGAAAAAGTTTTAAATTTATTTTCATTAAAATTTATATTTTTATGATAAATTTGAATTTAAAAAATTTCTATAACCTATTGCCCCAATTACTAAATCTTTTTCCAAAAATCTGATCTGCTTCTGTTTTTAAACAAGTCTATTGAATACATTATAATCACTTATTTAAAAATCTAAAGCATTTTTTCCAAATAGTTTAAATAATATATATGAAATGTATTTAATATATAAATTTAAAAACATATAAATATAAATATTTAATTTAAAAAAATATCATTTAAAGTGTAAAGAAAACTTAATTTGTGATATAATTATTATTTGATCCACCGCGAATGGAGAAAACATGACTAAAAGTAACTAAATTAGAGTATAGGATTAGGAACCAAATCCGAATGTGTATATTGTAAAAGGACTAACAACATAATTTAACTTTGTATTTAGAATAAATTTCATGTATAGTCACTAAACTATAAGAGTGATTCTATTTATACTACTAAATTATGAATTTTGTCAATCAATCCAGTTAACTATTTAAATGATATCAATAAAACCACTAATTGTTAACTGTTAAGGAAAATATTGACGAGGTAGTTAAAATTTATATAATTATAATTATAGAATGTGTAAACAATGATGACTGCATTTATAATTATATTAACTTACTTAATTGTCGTGTTAATGTTTTCATCAACCATTAATGATTAGTGACTTGATTGATACCATTTAAATAAATATATAAGTGATCTAATTGATAAAATTCATAGTTCAATGGTTAAAATAAAATCATTTCTATAGTTTAATTATTAATAAAAATTACCCTGTAATTTAAGCCTTTCTAGCTCAAAACTTTCAGCTAGATCTTCGAATTTTTTTAATTTTATCTTAGTTCCCAACACAGTTTTTTTAACTTCACCGGATTAATCTCGGATGAAGCCTGAAAGAATTTTTTGGCTCAAATCCTCGACAAGTGGCAAATCTAGTTATTCAATCCCTTTATACTTTAAGGTTTGTCCTTGCCAGGTTTTAAGTAGCGGTTAACGACCACGATAATGCCCGCCAAATAGCGGTAGTGTTGCCTTTCGATATATCCACCCGCAATAGTGTCTGCTATGACATTAATAATGCTCGTTATTGTCGCAATCGCGGTAAACACGACCGCGATTTAAATCCCTAGTCCTTGCTACTTATTTTGTCTGACTTAAATTGGGCAGTACTTAAAATTGTTCCATTAGTTATTTTTTGTCGTGGATTTTGGGATGATTTTGACAGCAACATCTACCACATTAATCCTTGGTTTGATCATGGACATAATGCTTGTCTTGTCCATTTTAATCATCTTGGTTATGAATTTTTTTTCAAGCCAAAGTGCAAATCGAGTCGATTTTCGTAAATAGAATAAAAAAAAATCTTACCATTATTGGTTTGTGTACCATTTGATTAGATAATTAAATTTAAATTAGGATCATATATATTTAACGGTGTATAATACCGTTGACACTTGGTCGTTAAACTATCTTTTAAGACCCTTGAAAACATTTATTTTTAAACACTCTTAATTAAACCACACTAACCTAGAACTAAGTATTTAACAGAATTTAAAAGGCTGCAGCAAATTTCCATTTTCAACACTTGGTCGAATTTGCACTCAATTATTGTCGTCACTGCCTTCACCGCCGTCACTATTCGTTCCCTGAATATGGCCGAGATTCTGAGCTTTCTCAAGCTCCTTATCAATCCTTTCTGCACACAACAACAGCAAAACCATTAGAAAATTTATACCCACATTTGATTACCAATTTACATTTACTTCAATTCTATGCTTCTGATCATACAAACATTTACCATTATCGTCGGAAAACCCTCCGTTTTCTTCGCCATTACTGGTCAACATAGCTACAACAGCATTCATCATTTCGTTTTCATCAAAATGCTGGGCCATCTGGCGATCGTTATTCTCAATTGCGCCAATGAAAACCATGAAATCGTCGAACAATTTTTGCTCGGCCGCTTTTCTTAGCAGCAGGTGGTGCTTCTTTCTCGCGAGCATCGAACGTTCCCTTTGCTTCTGGGCCAGTGCATCTTCCAACTGCTTTTTCTTTCGCCTCTCGGTTTCCAACACAAATTCCAGAGCCATAGCAATGGCATCTTGAAAATCCTGTTAAAGAGAAGATCGGAAAGAGTTCAAAAAAGGATTGTTTCTGGTTCCTGTAACAAAATGCAGATAACGAAACTGAAATCAGAAAAAAGAATGAAGAATCTAACCATTTCGGGTAGAACTGTGGGGCAAAAGGGCAAAGCGAAGAGATGAGAATAGGTTGCGAGAAGTGATGTGATGATGTTGAGTGTGTAGTTCGAAAACCGAATATATATGGGGGAGGCAAGTGGGCAGCGAAAAGGGATTGATCACGTGCCGCAGCCTAAAGATATTTTAGTATTTGTTGTCGGCGACTGCGTCAGACCATTGTTGCATATTGAGTTTCGTTTAAAGAAGGTACACGTGTCATCCTGCAATAATCATGTAAAAGTTCAATTCCTGGAAATCTAAAGGATTTAACTATAATTAATCTCAAGTCTTGTTCAAGTATTTTGAGTCAGCAATGTCGTCAGCAGGGTGGATGGGGGCGTTCCTCTGTTTTGAGTTTGGCAATGTTATTCGGACATTGATTGACTTCTTGCCTTGCAATGCCATAAATGCCAAACCCAAAGGTTATTTAACTGTTACTACCCCAAGTGTTGGGATTTTGTTACTTTTTATTCTTGTTAACGTTAAGTGCGTACCACCACGACTGGTTAATTTATTGAAATGATGTATTAAATTATTTGAGTAAGATTAAATGTTTGAATTGTGATATTATGAATGAAAAAAAATTAAGTTGTGAAGATCATCCCTAACGAGTCTCTACAATACTAATCTGAATAACTAATCAAATTAATGTCTCTTGATTCTAATTCGAGCACAACTAATGTACAAGTAAATCTATACAACTTAAAATTGTCCCTCTTGATGTATGTTTGCATCAGCCAACTAAGTTAGAGGTTCTAAATTGTACCAACTAATTGCCTAATGTTCATTACAAGAAGCCTATATTTAAATAAGAAACCGCGCATACCAAAATGATAGGTAAAAAACCAACATTGACCTAAAAATGTCATTCAGTTTAGAGAAAGAGAACAAGAAAAAGAGAGGACAGCTTTGTTTTTTTGTTTACCCTAAATTCCATATCATGCTCCTTTTATTCCCTCATAAATCATAATTCATACCAATTATTCCCCTCATCCTCCATTTCCAAGGTACCATACTATAATGTTTTTCTTTCGTCTTACAACCAAAAACACCTCATGTTAACCTTTCCCAAGGATTCTTCTTTCTGCATAATTTTCTAAAAATATCATGTTTTGACTCGTTTGAGATTAATCTTGATCATGACGCCTTCGTTTTCTTCGATATATTATAACACGTTCATGTACTCGTTGTGATTATGTTATTTGAATCATATTTAAGATGTTATATTGATTTTGACATCTTAGATACATTTATATATTCGTATCATGTCGTCTTTTAATTATTTGTGTCGTATTTTGAAGAGAAAGATGGGGGATAGGCAAGCAAGTAGTTATTGGTGTTACGTGTGTTCTCAAACGGTGAATCCAACGACAGATCCCGAAATCAAATGCCCGTTGTGTGATTCTGGATTTGTTGAAGAAATGGCCGGCATAAGAAACCATTCCAACACCAATACCAACGCCATTGATTCAGGATCAGTGAACAATCTTTCACTCTGGGCTCCCATCTTGCTTGGTTTGATCGGTGGTTTAAGTCCTTCGTCGCAGTTGCGTATCGCAAGCCGGGATCAAATCAATGGCACAAACTCGCAGGATTGGTTGGAAGACGATGAACTTGGGAGAGAATCCGAGTCCTCGGTTCCAAGAAGGACGACAAGGGGATCAACTTCAGCTGTTAGGATGCTTCGGGATATGCGTACAATGGCAGCTTCTGACTCAGAAAATTCTGAGAATGGCAGAGATAGAAGTGGTAGAATGATCTTGTTTGATCCAATCAATGAAGAAGCCTTGGTTGTTCAAGGCTCATTTGATGTGAACCGCTGTCGAAACCCGAGTCATAGGCCAGCTAGCTCCTTTGGTGGTGATCACATCAGGGGATCTGGTTGGGATATTTTGCTGCAGTATTTGTCTGAGAATGATCCAAATCGATACGGAACCCTGCCGGCACAAAAGGAAGCAGTCGAAGCAATGCCAACCATTACAGTCGAAGAAAATTCACAATGTCCAGTATGTCTGGAGGAATTCGAGATTGGAAACGAAGCGAAAGAGATGCCATGTAAGCATAAGTTCCATGTTGGGTGTATTATCCCATGGTTGGAACTTCATAGTTCTTGTCCGGTTTGCCGGTTTCAGTTGCCGTTAGATGATTCGAAGATCGAGCCTAATGGCGACAGTAGTAGTGCTCAAAGTAGTGGCAGGGTAGGAAGTGGTAGAAGGTATTGGATCCCTATTCCATGGCCTTATGATGGTTTGGGCACCTTATCAGGTTCCCAAAGTGAATCCACTTCAGCTCCCTCATCAGAGACCATTCCAGGAAATGAAAATGCAGCTCAGAGGGATGCTAATTGAACAATTTTCTGTAGATATTTGTCTGCATTGAGCTCGTCTTTTTGCTGCTGTTGTAAAACAAAGAATTTATATATATTTTACACATGTTGTATCAATAAACTTCTTGAAAAGGATCAATTGGATTAAATATTTCCTCATTCATGTTGAAATTGTTCTCCAACACTCAAATTAAACTTTCTAATAAAGCTACCAAAAACTAAGCCAAAAAGGTTTTCAAATAGTTGGAATACCAAAAATTGAATCAGTGCCAAAAGTAGGCTCAAAAGAAGGCATCCAAATGGTTTAAATACCAAAAAATTTAATCAAAAGCCTAACAGAACTGTGAAGATCTTAATCACTAACGGGTGCAATGCCACAACTGAATCTCCAGGTTTGATTGGCCCCTTTTCCTTTCCATATTGAAGAGCATACTTGGTTGATTCCTCAGTAGACTAGAGGTAAAAAGCTTTTGCTGAACCGGAGCTCAAAACAGGGAACGACTCCTGAAAATAACGCAACGCCTCGATGGAGCTTTGTCGCCGAATGACCGCTCGAGGCAATTGCCGTTATCTCTGGGATGATCATAGACAAAATAGGCACTCTTGGCAAATACTAAGCCACCAGCCTTGTTGTGGTTCCACCTCTGGTTAGGAATCAATGAGGCTCTAATGTAATTGGCTGTACTAACAACCGAGGAAGCCAAATTTTCCAAGGGGTTCATAAGCATTGGTGCAGTCTCCGTTGTTCTCTTGAAAAGATCTCCACAGTACACACGAGAGACAAGGCTTTGTGGCTACTGAATACATCATATCTGTTTGCCATGCATAGCAAGATTACATTGGTGTAGATCCCGAAGGTCGAGACCCACAACTCGTTTCGGCTGGTATAGAGTTGTCCAAGCAAGAGGGGCCAGTCTCTTTCAAAAGGACGATCATATCACCAGTAATCGCAAAGGACAACATTCGCCTCAACAATCTCTGCCGGTAATAAAAAGCAGCCCATGATGTATGTTAGCAAAGCTTATTCAACCGATTTGATGAAGTTTTCACGACAATCATAGGAAATAAGATGCTTCGTCCAACCACGTACCCGGACGACTACCTTATCACGAACAAAATCAAATGTGGCAGTTTTGTTACGACCTGTCAGCAGAGGCATAAATACCTGGATCGACAACCTTGGGCATGCCTAAAAGGCCACAAATAAGGGAGTAGTCTGCCATTGGAGTCTACAGGCATAAGTAAATGTTGGATTTGGCATTATTAACTTTCTATCTCGTTGCCGCTTCATAGATGTCTAAAACCTCCCACAGACACCAAACTCTAGGCTCTGAATCGCGGATAAACAATAAGCTATCATCCGTGTAGAATAAATAGGACCCTAGAATCATTCCGACTAGCACGAAGGCCCCGAATGCGGCTACTCTGCTGCTCAGAATGTGGGAAAGCCAATAACCCTTCAGTGCACATAAGAAATAAGAAAGATGACAACAAATCCGCTTGTTGAAGGCCATGTTCCGACCGAAAGCGTTCCGTAAAAGTACCATTAATCCGAACACTATGCTTAGAATAAGAAGAAAAGAAATACAAACAAATACAAATCGTAAAATACAAAAAATAAATCATATTGATCAACCTATTTTATATCAACTAAACACTAAAAAATCATAAAATACTTTTAAAAAAATTTAAACGTAATAAACATAGCACCAATTGTTTTCCCCATTTGTTGGGTATAGTTTTTATGCCGTGCTTGCTGCTGCATATTGGACGGTTGCTGTGGGCCAATGCTTCTAATTATAGTAGTGCTCATCTCACTTTCAATTAACCCTGTGGTTGTCTTGTGGAAATTCTAGATTTCTGCCCTTTTTTTCTGTTTCCCTTGCAAATTTGTTCTTATGGTCCTAATAAAATTTTACTATTCCTATTTATGCTGAAAGGGTATAAAAGAATTAAAAAATCATTGCAATAACCAAATCTGAATAGTTGCCCAACTATAGAAAACATTTCAATTCAAATACAACATTTCTGGTGTCAAACTGGAATAACTTTATTAGTCACATAACAAAAAGCAGAGGACCATGGTTAAAGGCCATGGCAGAAATTTTCCATGATAACAGCATCCACCTGTTTTCTTCTAAAGCATGAGCTAAACGGTCATGTTCGTTTGTCGATCATTGATGCACAATATTATAAAAAGAACACCACTTGGAATTGCGCTCATCTCACTCATCTTCATCTTCTTCTTCAGCCTCTTTCAACCACTTAAAAAGGGGAACCATGGGCAAAGAAGCAATGTGTATGTAACGATCATTAGAGCAGATGAATAATCGTATGAACGCTGGGAAAAAATAGAAAGAGTCCGTTCTTTTTTTATTTACCTGGATAAATTTTTCAGAATGCTTGAGAAACACTTTATCCGCTGCATCTGCTCCTTCCTTCTCATCAGCCCACTTCAAAATAGCATCTTCTTGTAGAATTTCTTTATCATATAAAAGATGCAAAATCTGTGGAAGAAAAATTAAATGAGAACTCATTTCTTGCCATTCTTTTGTATAAAACCTTGCATCTCATTCCACATTATCTCATCAAGAAATGCACACAAATACAAACGGGATCTTAAACATCTCTGAAAATGGTAGAGGAGCTAGACTAATAATTACCCAACTTAACATATTCACTTGTAACTATTACCATAAGAACTACTCAATGCCAGATCTTATCAACCAACCTGTCTACTATACCTAGATATATCATTAGAAATACCTGTGGAAATAACGCGGCAAACTCCCTAGCAGATTCTAGGCACATTTCTTCAAATTTCAAGACGACCTCAATCTGGTGGGCAATGGCATGAAAAAGATTTAGCACGATTGAAATATAGACAAAAATATGTATGTTTTAATAGGAAAAGAGCGCATTGCGAGATGCCAACTTTGGCATGCAATATAAACTGAGAAGTCACCCCACCCATCCAATGAATGATACAGAGGAAATTAGATATAGCACTTCAAAAAATGTATTATGCCCGTCGGCTTATAATTAATAGTTATTAATCAGATGGAAATTTCCATCAGTGTAACAATACAAACCTCCTCATCTATATCGTGCAAGAAAGACTTCAAAAGTTTTTGCCATTTTGTGATTATATCCGCAGCATTTTTATGCAGTTCACCTTTACAATAGATTCAAGACAAACTAGTTAGTGGTTACAAACATGTTAACCCTGGATGTCAACAATAAAACATGAACTGATCTATTTCTTTTTGCAATGAAAATAAGCATAAGAGGATTGACAGCAGCAAAGAGGTGTGCTTGCACTGTAGAATAATTAAATCACTCAAAAATAACAGAAGAAATAATAATTAAAAGAATAATCTAACATCCAATCCTGTCTCTTTGCTGCATGAATTTGCGCTAATTGACTAACAATTGTACTAACATACGGGAGACATATTCAGAATAATTCTTAAATTAAATCCTTAAAGACGTACATATGGCTCCACTCTGCCAGTGTTGCCACTCTAACATACCAATAAAAATCATCAAGAAACAGCACTTTAAGGGAAATAAAGATTGCACATAACTTCTGAGAAGATAAAGTACTATCGTTGTTGGTTTGAATAAATCATGAATGACGTAAGACAGTTAGATATGAACCATAGAGTCAGTGCGCAGCCTTTGAACTACATAATTCAGAGATTAAGCGTAAATCACCGAGATCTAATAATTTGGAAAATGCTGTAATTTTGGGGCTTCATTAGATTGATGAGTTGATCAGAACTTATTTGAAGCAAAAACTCACTGCTCGCAGATGAGACAGCTATAACTACCTTGAGTGATTAGGTCCCTAAAAATAGATGCTACAAGTCTGTGTGCATATTTATTGAATTCAATCCTTTACACATGCATGGTTACATTAAAGAAGGATTTCTTTGCATCGATGCAGTGTAAATATAGTGCTACCAGAATGGCCATGAAAAAAAAAAGCAATACACTTACTAGCAGAATTGTGTGGAGATTCTACTGCCAATTTCATCATTGAGTAAAATATCGCTCCAGCACAGTCCACCGATGCCATGTTGTAAGACAATCTGAAGAAATGCCAGGAGACAGGTTCGGCAAAATATTACCCCATAACTAATCATTATTGAGAAATAAAACAGCAGCTCAGTTTTAAAAAATATCTTTGAAGCAACAGAAAAGAAAATTAATGTTGATTGGAGATCTCCTCAGGGAGATGGCATCAAGGAAGGTCTGCAGGAAATAAGTGGTAATTCTGCTAATGCTGTCAAGCACAATTCTGGTGCTGATCAGGCATCAAACTAAAGGGGATAAAGTAAGCAAGGCTGGATTCGGTCAAACTGATAAAATATAAATTGGAAGGATGTAGTAAACAATGATTACCAATAGGAAAAGAAGATAATGGTTAACAGAAAATATTTATTTGATATGGACTCTAGATATTGCTGGGAGTTCTAGGTTTTTTACTTTCAAATAATGTAAAAGGACAGCATAAATTTTACAATTAGGAAAATGCTTACAAAAAAATTCAGTCAAGAGCTCCACCAACTAGGTTAATGGCCCTAGCTTGCTCAGAGAAATTAAAATGAATGCAACTCACCGAAGTGCATTCACCTCTAAGACTGCATGGTCTACTTTGACGTTTTCATTAACAGCCCTTAAAAAGGTAGCTTCCACCTGCCAACCAGAATGGAAACTGTAAACAGTTATAAATATTATGACCATGCATACAGTCAAACACGTTACCTCTTTCTCAAAGAATACATAGTCATCTCCAGAGTCTTCATTATCGTCATCTCCAGAACCATTATCATCAGAATCAGCTTTCAGCTCTCCTGAAGCTGAGAAAACATTCCCATCTTGAGTTAACTGTTCGTCATCCTCATCTTTCTCTAGCATTAGCTTAATCAGTTTATCTGTGGGAATAGGTGCAACTGACTGCCTCCATTCTTCATCTTGCACTCCTTCAAAGACTGACCAAATATAACCAACTCCGCCA